GAGTTCTGGTGTTAAGGTCATTTGAGCAGAATGCATAGCATAAAAAAATATGATATTACTCACAGCCTCATAATTACAAGTAGAGGAATTCTATGTTACACTTCTGGGAATGAGGACTAGAAACTAATTGTACTCTGGAACAAAAGATACTGTAACATTTCAGAGGCCCTAGGCTTTGCTACACATTTCTGAATTTGAGAGTATGGCTGAGGGAAGTCAGCTGGGAGGAGGGCACTGATAGACTCAGGATCTCCTAGCCTAGGAAGTGGGAAGACAAGGGCCACGTCGAAATGAGACGTTCACTCAGCGCATGGGGCCATCTAAGACAAAGCCTGCCAGTATCCACAACACACAACTTTCTCTCATGCTTCGTGTGTTTGGAAAGAGAAATCACAACTGGAAATCTTATCTCTCAGCAACAGTGTGACCGTGGAAAGAATTGATGGGACAGCAAATCATGAATAAGAAATCTGCAAGCAAAGTCATAGAGCCCCAAACCAGAATTAAAATGTTTCCAATCAGTATTTGGTCAAGTCTGAGTACCAATAGATGAGTTTTAAAAGGGAAAGCAATTTCATAGGATCATGTCTCATTGAAACTATAGACTTTAAAGATGTATTCATTTATTTCTTCTTTCTCTCCCTTTCTCCTTTCTTCCTTCTTTCAATAGTAGATGTCTGAGATCATGCTAAATGGCCTTTATAAACCATTCTATAGGTAAATGCCTTTTCTCTTTAGCCTCCTTTGTGGCACTGTTCTCTGCAACATCCTTTTCATTCTAATATTTTACTAAATTCCAAAGAATTTCCCACTGATCAGTAAAGCTTCTTCTTGAAGTAGACTAAAGCTGATTAGTTTCAGCTTCATTGGACTCAGTCTGAGAGACTCTTTGCAGAAAGAGAAAGTGTGAATTCAGTTTTCTTTTGCATTCATTTCCGATAATCCCAGGAGTTCAAATGAGGCCTCAATGACTTGCCGTGACACAAGTATTTTGACTGGGCAGCTTGAAGGACTGAGAAGTAACAGTGCCCCTTCCACTCTCAGTTCATGTACAGTATTCTGGTCCTGGCAGCTGAGAAGCAGCAGCAGGTGTGTGCTGAGGAATAGATGGTCATTGGTCCTGAAGGAGCTTCTTCATCACAATGGAATGTTTCAGTATCACTTATCCTGTCCAAGAGAACCTATTTTTGTTTCATATCCGTGCCCTGGTAGTAGAGCTCAAACTTATTTTGGGTTTGCTGATGACCATACTATCAAGAGGATATCAGTGCAGGAAGCCAAGAAGCTACCATCTGTACTGTGTTTATATATCAAGAATTATTTAGAAGGCTGATTACTCATTTAGCTGTGCCTCTTGACCTTCTAGTGTTACCTTAAGAAAGGTGACTTACACTTTCTTGAAAGTCACTTCACTTTTAATAACCCATATAATTCCCTCAACAAATTATAGGGGGGTCAAAGGATTGACCAAATTATACTATTAAGTATTGATCCACTGTGCTTTACATATGGCGGGACTGAAAGATCATTCTCGGTCAACAGAAAGTAGCTCTCATCAGTGGTGTGCCGGTAAATGATTAACAGTCAGCTCGCCAGAGGGTACCTGATCTGTAGCATTTGCTGATTTCCATAGTGGAATATTAGGAACAGCTTCATAAATTTAAAAACTTATATGGAATGCAGAAATTCCACAAAAGGCAAAAATGAGTAAAACTAACTCAAGAACAAATAGAAAAATTGGAAATTCTATATTTATTAAAGAATTTGAATTCATAATTAAATCTCACAAGAAAACTTAAAGTCCAGATGGATCCACTGAAGAAGTATATCAAATAGGTAAGGAAGAAATGATATCAGTATTGCACAAAGTCCTTCAAAAAATAGAAGAGGGAACACCTTCCCAATTTATCTTTTGAGGCCAGCGTTGTCCTGTTACCCAATTAGGAAAAGACATTATGAGAAAATAAAACTAACTACAGGCTGATATACCTCATGAATAAAGATGGAAAAAAATCCTAATGAAATGTCAGCAAGTTGAATCTGGCAATATATAAAAATACATAATGACCAAGAATTAAAGATTGGTTTAACATTAAAAATCAGTCAATATAATTCATCATATTAACAAAATAAAATTGAGAATAGGAGAAATTTTTCTCAACTTGATAAAAGGCATGTAAGAAAAACCTGCAGTTAAGAAAGATCAAACTTAAATGTTGAAAGACTGACTGGACACTTTCCCTTAGGGAAAAAGGCAAGAATGCTCACTCTTAATCACTTCTGATCAACATTGAGCTGAATGTCCTAGGTTGTGCTATAAGAAAAGGAAAAAAAAAAAAAGTAAATGGCATACAAATTGTGAAGGAAGAAGATTGTCTTTATCTGCATATCACATATCAATATCTAAAATATTTATATTTTAATTTATAAAATAACTACCCAAACCACTAAGTGAATTTAGCAGAGATGCAGGATACAATATCATTATACAAAAATCATTTGCATTTTTATATACTAGCAAGAAAGAATGTAAAAAATATTTAATACTGTCTACAGTAGCATAAAAATGAAATGTAGTGATTTAACAAAATACATGCAAGATCTATACACTGCAAACTACAAACATTGAGAAATTGAAGAATAAATAGATGGAGACATAAATTATGTTAATGAAGTAGACTTCATTAATCTTGTTAAGATGTCTTTTTCCCCCATATTGAATGCATTGATTCAATACACTTATAATCAGAATTTTAGCAGGATACTTTTATAGAAATTAACTAGCTGAGGTTCTAAAATTTAAATGGAAATGTAGAGGACTTCAAATAGCCAACACAATTTTGGAAAAGAATAGAGAGGGAGCATGTAGTAAGCATAATTCTAAGATGGCCCCAAGATTCCACCTCTCCACCCTCGCTGTGCAGGCCTGTATAATTCCCTCCCCTTGAGGGTGAGAGAAACCTATGAATATGATGGGATGTCATTCTCATGATAAGGTTAGATTATGTGGCAAAAGTAAAGGTCCACCTATGGCTGTATTCAGGAGTAAATGGCTCATCCCTGTGTGTGGACACCAGACCAAATGTAACACTTCTTTCTCTCCCTGTGGAGACAGATGCCTCTTACCCATCTCTTAATTCAGGTGTGCACATACTGATTGCACAGTCAACCCTCTGGGATCAGACCCAGGAAGGAAACCCACACAGGTCCTGAGTCATACTTGTGTCTATTTGGACAGAGAATTCCAGATCGTGGTTCCCTGGGATGTAGTTCAGAAGAGAAGGGCCACAGCCCTGGGTAGACAAGTCACTTGGCTCTGGGATCGCCTCAGTCCGTGGGTAGAAAAGAGACTCAAGGTGGCTGGAGTAAGGCCTACTGAAATAGGACATCTCAAACTTTCATGTGCATATGAATGACCTCAGGTCTTATCAGAATTCGGGATCAGAGCATATCAAGATGGGAGGTGGTGTTCTGCAAATCTAGCAGGTTCTCAGGTGCTATTGATCCATGGGACTCCACTTGGAGCAGCAAGACTGTAAAGCATGGGGACCAGGTCTGAGGACAGGTAACACCCATAGTCTCTACATTTAAAGTCTGTAGTGGAATAAATAAACTAAAATTATGTATAATTCAAAATACATTGTATTCAGAAAGATTTGATTGACAGTTAACCTTAAGCTAATAATAGGTTTTTTTAATCTTGTGCATTTATCAGCTAAGTGAAAATGGTTGACCCAAAAACAGGATAAATAACTGGGTCCCCAATCTGTTTTTAAAACTATGTATATAATCTAGAGTTGGCTATTGCCATTATCATTCAGTGTGTTTTATGAAAGAATAAATGGCCATAACATCTTAAGTTTTAAGGGTGAATTTTTTTTGAGGGACCGAGATTACCCATACCATAACTGACATACTTGGACTAGAACTTTGGAACCCATCTGAATACGAGCCTTGAGCTATAAACCACCATGGGTTTTCTAAAAAGTGATATTAAAATATTTACTATTTTTATTAATAAAATGTGGGGACGTGGTTGACTTATAAGAAATGAGATTAAAATTGTTTCTGTTGAATATTCGTGCTGCATTATCATTCTGTAGTATTTATTATTTGAGACATAACTCTTCAGAGACTTTGATCCCTTCCTCTGTGGTGATTCCTTTTTCCATGCTACATTTATTGACAAAAGCATTTTCTTTTTCTTTTAAATTCTATGATGAAGGTTATGACCTTGGACCATTCATTTCTTTATTGTATTTGAACTTATTCTCTCATCATTAGTTTGAAGAAAGCTGATAATAAATTGAGTACTCTACTCTTTTGATGATTATGCTGCTGATGGGTTAAAATCAGCCTCTGGAACCCAGATGAATTTACAGATTATTCCCAGAGAATTAGGAATCTTCTTTTGCCCTCCAAACATCCCGCTTCTCAGTGCAGCCAAAGCCCCCACATAGGCTATATAAATTAATACATTTGCTCGCAATGTGACTTTGGGACATTTTATAGCAGTGATTTCAGTGTTGTTAGTGGTGAAATAGAAACTTGAGAATGCGAAGATTAATTTAAAACACATGATGGGTTCAAGGAAAAGGGACATCCACTACAGATTCTTGAACGTGTGCTAACTCTGTACAGTGGGGAATGGGATCCAAAAACCACCAGTGAACTTTTAAACCCTCTTGAGAGGAATCAGACCAACATGATTAGCCCTGGAAGGGAGCCGTTTCAGACAAGAGACAGACCATTTTTCTCTCCCTCACAAACAGAACACCTCGGAGAACACAATGGAGAAATCACAAAAGCGGACAGCCCCGGTCGCTACCACTAAATGGCATGAAGTTAGAACCATCTTTCTGGTCCATAGCTGGTTAACTGATTTGTCTCTCATTGTAGATTACAAGTTCTGTTGGGTTATTTGAACAATAGATAATTAATAAATCGAATGTTGTGGATAGTTGGTGACTTTGAAATAAAGGATTTCTTTTCCCTTCCAGTTCGTCGTAGCGGTGTTCTGGATAATTTATGCCTATGACAGAGAGATGATTTACCCGAAGTTGCTTGATAACTTTATCCCAGGGTGGCTGAATCACGGAATGGTGAGTGGACTGAAACAAATGATTTCCTTTTATTTAAAAAAAAATCTGTTAAAGAGCTATTTTCTAACTAAGCTTTCCGTAGACTCTATCAAGCTGAGAAATATTGGAAGATTATAATACAGTCATAACTAGAGAAGAAAATCAAATATAAATAAAAAACATCTTCCCATGAAACTGAGTCACTATTAAAACTATGTACTAGATGAATCCAAAGTTTATAAAAGGCATCAGTGGTGTTAGATAAGACATAGGTGTCTGCATAGAATTTGGTTTCTGTGCCATTAAAAGGTTTGTCCCCTATTGGAGCCTGAGGATCGATTCCTATCTGGGGGACTATTGACACCTGTCCCTCTTCCACTCACATCAGTGAGATTGTGTCAGGAGTAACTGCGTATTATACTTGGACAGTTTCCCCCAAAGGATCAGCAATGCTGTTCTGTGCCCTGGGAGACCTGCTGCAGGCATGGGCGGTGTCAGCAGTGGCTGTCTGCCTTGTCCCAGTCTGCCCGTCCAGGGGTCTTTGCCTGCAGCTGCTAGGTCTTTTCCTTCTTCTCAGTCTAATTCTTCATGATGCTTTAGCCATGATGTTACTTTCACAATTTAAAATCAAATGCTTTGGATGATTTGCACATCACTTTCCAAGGTTCGAAGAGATATTTCTGTAGAGTATGTTCTCTTCCCTTTCTGCTTCTGGAATTGAGCAGTTTTGGTAAGAACTGAGAAGCCTGTATTTTTTGGTTGCAGCAATTTTTAAGACTGTCACTGGGTACCCGTGGTGAAAAGGTCAACCTATCACAGAAATTATAGGGGAACAAAGAGCTAGAAATCATGTGTCTTAGGTTCAAAATAATAGTTTCCCTTCTGCCCCCAATTTTGGTATATTTTAAGAAAAGTGGTGCGTACTAACAAGCATTACTATACTGAAGAGCTTTGATCAATCCTTTTTAAGCTAGTTTATCAAAAGTGGCACATCGCAGAGAACTGAAAGTTCCTTTGAGTCCAATTAGAGCATAGTGTTGAAGGATTAACATGGCACCTCTGGTCTAGTTTTCAACAAATCGGCTTAGTCTTATCAGTTCACTTTAACCACTTAAGGGACTTCACCTGGTTACTCTGCCCCAATCCAACTTTTTCCTTTTCTTCAATGTGAAAGCCCTTTCATGATTCCACGTCTTTGCAATCCTCTGCCCCTAATGCCCTTCCCATTCTTTTCTGAGAAACTCCTGCTCATCCTGGTGACTTATTAACATCATCTCTAAGAAGTCTTTTCTCACTCTCCCAAACCAAGTTAGCTCTTCTGTCGTTTGTGTTTGCAGAGCATTTTCATATGTCTGTTATCCATGTCTGTATCCCCCACAAAAATGTCACCCTTCTAGTGAAAAACAGCAGCCTCCAAATCCCACGCACTCTGCCCAGCTGCCTGGCTTATAGTAGGATCAATGCATACTTATTAGATTGATGAATTCAGTATTGTCGGTTTCCATAATTCCTTGCCAGTCAGTACTAATAACTATTATTTTTAAAAACCTACTGCGTGCCAGGCATTCTGTAGTGGTTATGTCATTTAATTTTCACAGTGGTGCTATGAGTGAGAAAGTATCATCATACCTTTTAGAGGTGAAGAAACTTAGGCTCAGAAAGTTTCTGATACTAGAAGGGCCTTAGCTGGTGCATTGCATACTGTTCTCTAGTACAGTCCTTGACTCTTTGGGCTGTTGTCTACATCCCTAATCTACACAATATTACTCAGGCCAGAGAAGGAATCACAGCCTTTGCAAATTCTAGTGTTATTTAATGTTTTGAATGAACGGTTTATTGAGCATATTGCAGTCATTAGAACTTCATTTTGACTCTTATCATTTTCTCTTGATTCACTTTGGTGGGTTAAAATTCTCACTCTTGGCTGCAGCCATTACTTAGAAATGCAAGGAGGATTTGAATGACACAAATACATAGGATTGGAAGAAGATTAATTAACATGTCAAAGTCTTTCAGATAATATGAGTTCAGTAGATTCTTTCACAGTGAATGTTGTCTCTTAGTAGAGATGAATGACTATTTTTTTGCTTTTCTTCATGTTCCAGTTCATGATTTTAGAGTTACTAAGAAGTTGCATACAGTGGCTGAGGAATATTTTGCAATATTAAGTAACTTACATTACTCCAAATCTGTATATATGAAACTTTAACTACAACATGATACTGACTCTTTAGATTGGCAATTAAAATATGAACATTTAAATGCTGTAGTCATGAATAATTTTTATAAAAATGTGTAAGAATAATTATGAAATATCAAGATATTAAATAAACATTTAAAGCTTTGTTTAAATTTTATTTAAAGGTTTAATAATTAATTATCATTTGTATTTACTTTTAATTTTAATAGATAATTTTGAACATTTAATTTTAAAAATATAAAATAATTCAATTAAAAATTTTTAAATTTGCTTTAATGTCCATATTTTGATGAAAACATTTATATTGCGTATACTTCGATTATTATATTTAGTTGATATTAGATTTAGAGAAACACTATCAGTAGAGTTCAGATTTTGTTGACAATTTCCATTATATTTAGTGAATTTGCTGGAGTGAGGGCAAGAAAAAAATTTTGAATATTTATATTATTGTATTAAATATTTTATATTTGTAATTTATAAGTCAGTATGTTTTTTATTTTATTACTCATCCAATCATATTTTTCTATTTTATTTTATGAAAATATATGTAACTAGATAGGAAGATAGATCCTATTTTATACAATACTTTACTAGCTTAATTTGTAACTTTTAAATATTTCTGCAAAGGGTTTGTGGCCCTCTAGGCCTGTTTGTTCATTTAAATTTTTATAACTACAAGAATGCCTAGAAAGAATGTACCTCGTTCTTATGTGTAGAATCATATTTATTGTTTGAAGAGTCTCAACATAATTTCTAGAGATCCAGAGCCCTAAGCCACAGAACTAAGATACATTTTATAAGTCTGCCGTGGCATCATTTCAGAAGATATCATCAAGTCAGTCCTGAATTTGCTGCATTCAAACTTCCCAGCACATTAGTCAAGAAAACAGGCATAAGAGGAAACTCACAGGATCTGAAATTCAGTTTTCACTTTTTTTTGTTTTTTTACATTGGCTAGTGAAATCAATGTTCTTATTGGTTATCGCTATTCACATATTTTTCATTTTGATTTATACTAAAGTTGCCAGCAGTTAGACATGATTATAACTAAAGGCAAGTATCCTATCACTTCCTTCCTATTGTCTTCCTCTTTACTCTCAGTAAGCAGTTATAGAATTTATGTGCAGAAAAGAAAAGGAAATGAATAAATAGATGAGTTAAAATAATGATACACCCTTGGCGTGTAACCACTAGGTTATCACCAATCTCCATGACAATAGCACCCAAGAAAAAATTTTAACTTATTACAATTAAAAATATAAACATATAAATATAGTACATTCAAATTGTAATTTTAACTTATTACAATTAAAAATATAAACATATAAATATAGTACATTCAAATGGAGTCGGTTCAGTGTCCAAACTCAGGAACTGTCTATCCTTGAAGCCCTATTTATCTTTGTATTTTCAGCAACTCAAAAAACACATGATACCCGTAAGGCGTTCACTGACTGTTGATGATAAAAAAAGATATTTGTACATTTGCTTTTGACACTTGGAAAAATGTCAGGTTTACATTTATATCCTTCTACCACCTTGCTATCCTAAGTCCACTGATGACCAGACAAAAGAAAAACAGAGGCGATATCAGTAAATGAATCAGTTTCTAAAATGTAGTGAGAATGGTCACGGGTAGTTGTGGGGAGGGTTCTGCATGGCAGCAACGTGTGGGGGCTGAGCTTTGATTTAATTCCATCTAGCAAACATTTATAAATGTTGAAGGAGATTTGACTGTGAGTGGTGAATACCCAATGTAATATACCTATGACATATTATTGAATTGTACATTTGAAACCCATATAATTTTATTAGCTAGTGTCACCCCAATAAATTTAATTAAAAAAAGAAAAGCTATGATATGCAAAGCACCTTGCTAGGCACTGTGTGGGTATAGAATGGGAAAAACACTTGCCATTTTAAAAAATGGAAATGGCATTTTTGAAGTGAAGGAAGGTACGTAGGAAAACAATGCCGCAAGCCAACAGAGTGGTCTCCGGTAGGCTGTGGTCACGCTGTCAAGGAAAGACACTGTTGTTATTCTGGCCTTTGCATTGGCTGCGAGAATAGAACCCTGAAACTTTCTCTCCTGCTGATTATAGTTTTAAAGCATTGTCAGTGGAATAAATATACATTAAAAGCAATAAATAGATAGATAGATAGATAGATAGATAGATAGATAGATAGATAGATAGATAGATAGATAATTAAAACTCTAGGAAGATTGCAGACTCTCACAGATGCTATAACAGGAAAAAACAACAAAGACAGTGTTTCTGCTTATTGAAGACCTAATTAATGTTTATGAAGAGCTTTGAGAAAGCCAAGCACTATGGAAGACTAGGATATTATTATTATTACCACAGATCTTTAAGCAGACATGACCTAGATATTCTTATAAACACAGCAGGAGTTGTTCATTCCCCCATGTAATTTGTAAGGAGAGGGGAAAAAAAATAAACCCCGCCTCTCTTCATGCTTGATTTGTCAGTTCTTGTTATATGTAACTGATCCCCAAGAGACCCTTAATTTAGACAACTATTTACTCTGTTCAGTATTATTTTGACATTTGGTAATGACTGAAGTTTTTGTACATCTGTCTTTCCCAGAATTGAAGGCGTTAAATACTGCTTGTATGATCATTGTTTTTGTAGGAACTCAGATTTGACATTATTCTTTTGGTAGATAACACGACTTATAAAAAGTTTCCAGTTCTGGGATACACAGATTTTTATGTATTTCAGTACCCGTGGAGTTTGTGCCACCTTGAGAGTGGATAATTTATAAAATAAGCTGTTGGTTGAAAGAAGACCATTGT